GTTTCACGTCGATTTTGTATGGTACGAAGACTTGCCACGCTTGCCAGCTACGAAAGAACAAAGGAGTGGAGTGTGTGACCGATGTAAAAATAAAATCACCCGAGAGGAACCAATTATGGTCTGTATTTGACCGAAGAGCGAAGAGAAGCAGGTGCAAATGGAAGAACCCGTATGTAACACTTAACTTTCCAAAAACGCGATCGATGTATTCTCTTATGTTCCATGTAAAAGAGGTTATTACGTTTGCCTTGTTCCCAGAAATTCTCATTTCACACACGAACGAGGAATAATCGTGCCTCTTCCACGCACCTATATCTAGCCTATAGCGATCAACTTATCGCGATCAACGCGTGAATTATCGTTAAACAGGAGAACAGTATCGAAAATTGATATTTTTTTTTTCTTTGAATAAGACACGAAAAGATTAAAAAAGAGAAACGATTCAAAAAAAAAAAATCAAGAATACGAACCATTACTTCTTTTAAATAATTCATACGCGTCTCTCAGTCACGCCGTAAATTTTCAATACTAATTCCTGCGGACATTACAACCGCGAGGCTCTTCGGCGACGAAATAGAAAGAAGGGGGAAAAATATGCATTATACGGGCACAATGGTTGTCCAAGGAATGAACATGATGAATGAAAGAGTCAAACGATGGCCCCGAAGCCGGTAACGTCCAAGGATCCATCCGCGTGGTCGTTTTGCTTTCTCTCCGATTCTCTCTCTCTCTCTTTCTCGCTCTACCTCTTCCCTACCCCCTCACCCCCTTGCTCGCCCTCTTTGACGCAGTCGCAGCTTTGATATTCCTGCCAGAATATCCCACTTATAGTTAGTGCATAAGCCTCCGTTTCTCTAGTCGCGTTCCCTCTTTATCCATCGTTCTAACAGCTTTTCTGTCCCCCTCCTCTTCCCTCCTCCCCATGTGCTTTCCCCCTCCTCTCTCTCTCTCTTGTTCGCACCCTCTTTCTTCGAACCTCGCAACTATCCCCGTCACGCGTTTCCAGCTTTTCCTTCCTCCTCTCCTCGCCGGCTCGGAGACATTCTAACACACGTGGCCCTACGGTTTTCTCGACGTTTCTCACCGACTCTTTGTCCCGTCCCGTCGTCTACGGATGACGTTCAACCGCATGAAACGTTGCTTCGCGTGGATAAAGCTGCAACGCGCGTGTATCTATCCGCGTTTAAAACGAAACGCGGGTCAAGGATCGTCGATTAAAGGATCCGTTCGCGAGAAGAGCGTGTCGTTTACACGCTGACGTGAATCCTCGCGGTTTTCGTTGCTTCCTCGTAGTCGTGCCGTAGACTTACGCGATTCTTGGATACCACGAACATTACCGAGGAACCCTGGTAATTACGCCGATAAGAATCTCGCATAATTTACGCGGTTCGAATAACTTTTCAGCTGATTCGTGACCGATTCTCCTTTTTTTCTTTCCGTGGCAAAGATTCCGCGAGAGAGGGAAAGAGTATAAGGTTCGATCTATGATTGGACGAAGAGGGGGAAGGGGGGGGGAAGTTGATGCTTTCGACGAAACATGAAATAGGAAAGGAAAGGAAAAGGGTGACGGTGTAAAATTGGTCTGAACGATGAACGATCGACAGGAGTTTCCAGGGGTCCCCGAAACGATGAAGGTCTCCTCGAACGTGGAACACGCCCACTTTTTCGCTGTTCCAATCAGTCCAGAACCCTTGCGCACGTTTTATTTGGTAGTTGATTGATGCGGAGGGGACAGTAGTGGGAATTAATGAAGACGGTTTAGGGATAGGACATTGGCGCCGAACAATTATTGGCCCTCGAATAATTCCGCCAACGTTCGCGGATTTTACAGACATTTAATCGACTGTGCAATTAACACCAGTGATACGATCGATACGGAAATTATTGAATGAAAGATGGGAATCGATGAATTGAAGTAAATGTTCTAGGAGATATAGAAATTATGAACAGTTTACTTGAACATTTGTATTTTCCACGTAAATTAAATGCTAATAAATATTTATTTACGATAATATTCATCGAGATATATTAAAAAAAAAAACTGAACGTAGATATACATATACAACAACCTAAGTGAAAACTTATAATATCAATAATATTCAAAATCTTGTCTTGCGCCAAACATTTTTAAGACGTCCAAATTAATATCGTAAAAAATGTTTAAACTTAAAATTGACGTTAAACGGATATCTTTAACACGTGTCGTGTGTTATTTGAGTTATTTATCAATTAACGAAAGCAAGAAGTAAACGCGTATTAACACTCAAGGAAGAATAGGAGGGGAAGAGCAAAAAGATGACTCGATAATTCGATGATTCGATGGTTAAACAGCGTTATCGTGCGTATATCTCGATTATAAGGAAAACTCGTGTCTCTGTATAAACGTCTGCGTCCGATATTCGCAGACGCGCAAGTTTTTAAGTTCGAAGGGGTCACTAGAGGATTCCCCATACATATTCATGGGGAATATTTACTTAAGGCCAGAAAAGAACTGTTAAGAACGAAAGCAACGTATCGCATTAATACGAGGGTCCTCGGAGATCCTACGAATACGTAGGTATATGCAAATGACACCATTCCCGCCGGGGAAACCTTTAAATCACACATCGAGGCTACCAATAACACGTCGACGGTCATAATACAAGACAGCCTTTATGCTCGGTGTAGCGGCAAGAGTAGCAAAACGTTCGTCCTCGAGTTTAAAAGGATCGCGTTTTAAGTACCGTAACATGCAATAACAGCCTTTCATCGGATATAATTCGAGTCAGGATTAAAATAACAAATAGAAGAGAGAGCGACGCGTGTTGCGCTATACGTAATCAACGTATATTGTTGACCGTGTACCGACAAGTTTTCATAGGAACGAAGTCTGTTAATCGTTCCCAAAGAACCAGATTCTCGCGTACATTAACATGCCATTGATATCTCGTCGATTCTAAACGGACAACAAGCGGTTTCGTACTTCTTCGCGACATCGTATCGACATCATTCGAATTTACATCTTATTATGCTGAAATAGAAAAAAAGGAAAAAGTAAAAAATATAAATACATAAGATACAAGATTCGCGAAAAGGAAAAAAAAAAACTTACAAAATTATACAATCGCCAACGATGAAGGAGACACGCGAACAAATTACCGTGACGGGATTTCAAAGATCTCGGTTATTCAAATTTTTTCTTCTCTTCCCACCCGTCAAACGTTTTCCCTTATCTCTCCGCCCGTTCAAACCGAAAACTGGCAAAATAAGGCGGACACACGAAGCGAATCCTTCCCCTTCAAAACGTATGTCCCGGCAAATTTATACATCGCAATTCACCGCGCATCGCGGCCATTAACGCGTCGACGAGCAGGGAAGACGACGGGCATGGCAAGCCATCAACCTCCATGAGGAAACCGAGATGCCCGGTCCAAAGTACCAAAAGGAGCCACGCCGTGCTTTTATCGCGAGTAATTCGGGCCACGATCGTACGTATACGGTGTCTAATAAATTCGTGAATGGGCAGGCAGCGACTGAAATGTCGCTACACACCCACGCCTAACGCACACGAGTAACGCCGGGTACGTGCGTTACGAGAAGGGGCCCCTCTTCTTTCCTCTCCCCACGATGTTTCGACATGGTTGTGCGCGCGCGTGCCCCGGACTCGAGGTTGTTGGCGTTGGTTGCGCGCTTAGGGTGGGTACCGGCCAACCGACATGGGGGCACCGAGAAAGCGGATATTATCGCCAAACGTTAATTTGGCCGAGGCCCGGCCTACCTTCCAATTTTCGAGCCCTTACACGCCCACTTACGAGATTGTCCGTTAATGCTCCGAAACGTCGGGACGCGTTTTCGACGCCCGCGTTTTACCGCCACGGAGAACAGCTTCGCGTACTTCGCCGCGTACAGCCGACGGCCATGTATGTAAGTATGTATGTATCGTGGACGAGCGTCTCTCTCTCTCTCTCTCTCTCTCTTTCTCTAGAAGCCCTCGGCGAAAGAAGGTTTGTACGGGACACACACGTGCGTTCAAAGAGCGCAGTGAGTATACGTGCAAGAGTAAATAGAGTCGATTGGGCAAGTAGCCGTGTCTTAGAAGGATAGCAGATCTTCAGGTGTTAGAGATTTCTAGACCGTTGGAGAGAGCGTAGCAGCTACTGGGAGCTTAAATAGAGTTCTTTTTTGTTGAATTTTTAAAGCTAAAATTTCAAGAGTTCTATAAAGGGCGGCTGAGAGAGAGTCTTGTAATTAGAATTGCAAAATTCTCTAGAGGAGGCATGTCAAAAAATTGCGAAGAGAAACCAAAGTGTTCCAAGGTGATGGGGAAAAAAGAAAAAAAATTCCATAAACGCGATATGGATAATGTTCTCGTCGATATCTCGTGTATGCGCAAACGGCTCGATAACGCGGAGAAATATAATCGAGTGTTGGCCGAGCAAGGGCACTTAGATGACGAAGGGTATTCGCGATAAAATTAAATGGAACGTTGCGAAAAGGAACGACACGCCCGATTGGCCGCTAAGAAAACAGGGAAAACCGTATTTCAACTGTGTCTTAACATTCCCGCATCACTACTCGCCCGCGCCTAATTTATGTAACACAGAACAAATATACTCGTGGCCGCGCGTACGTACAACGTGGTCGCATCAAAGAAAATAAATACGGGACGAAACAAGTGGAGCGAGAAGCAAGAAAATAGTTCGCGCAGGCGTTTCGTAGACCCGAAATAGGGCGGTGTGAACAGCAGGAAACTTTACTGTATACCGTGAAACGTGGAGTAGGAGAGACGTGTGTATTGGCGTGTGTGAGCGCTGTTGGAAAGAACCGGTTATATAGAAACCGTCCTCCACCTTCTCCACCTTCTTCTTCTTCTCCTCCTCCTACTTCTTCCTCCTCCTCTTCTTTACCCTACCTTCCCTTCCACTCTTTCGCCGACCTTTCGTTCCATCCTCGCCAAGTATCCAGCAAGCCCCGCTACGTAATACAATCGAGCCTATATACATATATACAAACCCGATTGTATGCGTGCCTCCGTGTACATAGGTGCAGAGGCTGTATGTACACTTACGTGGGGTCCCGACACCACGGGCGCCTGCCTATCTGACATTGGGTGCCTACGAGGGCGAGCCTCGTGTCGTTTCTTTTTCTCCCTTTCCTGACCTGGCTACCGACGGATCCGGAGGAACCGTACACTCCTTCCTCCCTTCGAAGGCGTTGGAATTTCGCAAACGTTTCGCGGATAGCCTCGTTTCCGATACGCGGAAACTCTCGAATCTATTGTATATCCGACTCGCGCGGATATCCCGCGGTGAAGGGAACATGGTTGAGTGAAACGTTAACATATATTTAATCGTACCGATGATATCCGATGATTAATTTTTTATCTCATACGTTTTGAACTCCGGAGACGGAGGCGTTGGAAATATAAATAATGATTCTTTTGGCTATTGTCGAGAACTTGGTTCAATGGTTTTTCTCCGTGTTGGATCCACGCGTATGAGTACACATGTATGTGGGCCCGCTATTTAGACTCAGATTCAATTTTTGATACACGAGCCGAGGCTCGTGCTACGTTCGAAGGGGTTGAATATTATTCGTTATTGACGATCAATGTTTTTCTGTTACAGATTTCGAATAGACAACACGGACCATATAATAGACGTGAACAAGAACAACGCGGCGTTCGAGTACGATCAAGTGAACATAATATGTCCCGTGTACCAGCCGGGAACGTATGACGAGGACGCGGAGAAGTATATTATTTACAATGTAAGTCGCATACTTTGTATTGTATCGTAACGCGGAGAATCTCGACGTTGGTGAAAAATGATTGTCACGAGTCCGAGCGTCATATCCCTGGCCCGCCATAGTGGGATCAACGGATAAATCGAGTTACACGACTGTTGACCCATTATGCGAAATAAAAAATTGTCAAAGGGTGTTCCGTGTTGTTTAGACAGCTGTTACTACTCGAAACTCGTTCGTTAACTCGCTCGTATCAGACCCCCAGAACGACTTCCGCTTCGTAGCCAACTTTTCACGCCGTGTCGGCCCCTCGAAGGGGGATGTTCGAACGTTGTTTCGAACTCGCTGTTAAAAAATATTCATAACGAATTACCCGCGTAACGATCATTCCTTAATTAGAGAAACTCGTATTGATGTTTGTTGGGACACGGGACGAAAATCACCACGTTTCATAAATCAGAATCGTTTCCAGAAGGGAAAGTTTTACCCTTCTTTCGCTTTTATCTGAGATTTTCTACGCCGTATATCCCAAAGCAACGACGCAAGCACCACGAATCATCGTCGAGATCTAATCACCGTCTCGATATCCTTCCCTCCTCGCATTGTCTCGATAGCGTTCGAACCCAACAACGGATATTTTCTCCCTCTTAACTGTATGTCGAGGGGGCCGAGAAACACGAATCAGCTCTTTCTACAGCTATGCGTTACGGGAAAGAATTGTGAAAGTCGTCAAACAACGAATCCTCTCTACAAGAAAATCTTTCTTTCTACAATTTCTTTCTACGAAGAATTGTCGTTTGTATAGGACCCGATGAAACGAGAAAAAACATTGAAAGAGAAGGGTGATTGCGTGACAAATAAGTAACGTTGCCATTCGAGTCGCATCAGTAGCTTGTGTTTAGATGCATCATGTATTTACAGGTGTCCAAAGAGGAGTACGAAACATGTCGGATAACAAATCCGAATCCGCGAGTGATAGCGGTCTGTAACAACCCGTATAAGACTATGTACTTCACGATCACCTTCAGGCCGTTCACACCGCAACCCGAAGGCCTGGAGTTCCTGCCAGGCCACGATTACTATTTCATCAGCACTTCGTCCAAGGACGACCTCCACAAACGCATCGGTGGACGATGCACCAGTAACAACATGAAGGTGGTCTTCAAAGTGTGCTGCCGCAACGAAGCTGACACCTCGTCGTCATCAGCGACATCGCGCAACAATTGTGAGTATTCATTTTTTTCAACGAATAGCAATATCAATATTCATTTCTATCTCCTCGTTAAATGTAATAATCTCTTACAGTTACAAAGAGTTAAATGGGAAGTGAATCAAATCCCGTTTAAAATCGTTTTGAAACCTATCCTTAAATCCTCGTGCAACGAACAAAAACCTCTGTCCTACCGCAAGCAAGGAGTCATTTCACATGTACGACCGGTATTCTAATGGGTCTGATTATCATAATCTGAAATTATAGTCGTTGTCTACGTCGTCCGCGCCGCCTTTTCATTTCGCGTGTAAATCACATTTAAGACCTTCACGGTTTCGCGTCAATACATCAGCTCATCGAGCAACAGGGGGATGAAGCGAATCGAAAAAAAGTATGTCTACGTCGTAAATCCATTATCTCCTAATCAGTTACAAAGGGAAAGACCTTCCGACAGACGCTCGATTCCTTGATCTTCCGTTTCGTGCACAATTCACCCTCCGCTCCTCTCTTCGTCCCTCGCCAATCTCTGTTTGCTCCTCCTCTCTTAAATAATCCCTATCAATTATAATTCTTACTCGTGCATCATTTGTTGCGGTTAGAGGACCAACGCTGACCCAGAACACAATAAATTCCACTATTTCACTCTAGCCCGCGATCTCTTCCCTCCCTAATTCGTTCCAACCGTCTCCTCCCGAGACACCTCTTTCACCTTCTTCCCTGCCACCGGCCCAACACTCGTCGGAGACGATTCATGCGCCATAATGACTAGCTATTTCGCCGGCCGAGAACTCTGAACTCCCTTTCTCTCTTTCCCTTCTTCCATCGAGTCTCGGGCATTCAAGATTCCACGAGGCTCTCCCGACCTCGAAATCCTTCCGCGGCTATCCACTGTTGTGTTCATTGCGGGATCAGAGCGTGAGCACGCTCGTGTACGATGCTCTACGATTACTATCAACAGCCACGAACCGCGAGAAATGTTAATCTCGCGGAAAATTTCAGACGGGCTTCTCTTCTTTGCGCCGCGAGCGCGACCGCGGCGAAAGACATTTATGCCGGCAATTAGCCGACGAAAATGCGAAATTAATCTTCGACTTTATTCCACCGGTGGAGGTTCGTTCTCCTCCTCTCTCTTTGTGCTCGTGAAGTTTTTCGACCGTGTATACGGAATATTTGTCATTCCTTATGGTTACCATGTTCTCTCTCTCTCTCTCTCTCTCTCTTTTTTTCCTCTCTTTCTTTTTTATAGTTTTTATAATTAACAGTCGATCGGTTTTAAAAAAATAAGCCGATAATTAAATTAGTCCTTGAAAATAAATTTTTATAATATACAGCGTAAAAATATGTTTTTATTCGTTTTTAAGAGTCACACGCGGAATCAAGAATCCCATCGATTTTCACGTTGCGGGAACCACAAATCCTACCTAAATCAAATTTTTACGATACCGCGTTTACGGTTATAACTGTAACGGTTTACGCGCGATTCTACTATTACGTACGGATCGGCAAATGATCGGCAGTCCGATTAAATAAAATAAACTTTAACGGGCGCAATCATAACCTCGTCTGTATTTCGATTGGGTGCCCGGTTTTAAAATAACCGAACCTTACACCACACGCTCGCGCCATGTATACACATATAGGTAATTGAAATCGATGGCTATTCACCGGACACTCGTCCCATTTACCGAGCAATCGTCGACGCGGTGGCGATTCTCTAACGCGCGATTCACCCCGTTGAAAATTACGCAAAACCAGTGCGCGATTTGCCGTTTCCACGAGTTAAAATCGAAACTTGTTCGCCGAGGCGATGTTATCCTAAATCATTCGGCTGGAAACAGCAACGTGAACAACGACGATGTTGCGCGGGCGCGCGTAACAACAGTAATCGAGACTCGGCTGGAAATTGCACGCAACTCGTGAACCAGGTAAAAAAGTGGCGGTGAGATTACACGCTAAAATTCAATAGCCGCAGCAGAGTATACCCGAGGCGACGGTGAAAAAAGGCCGTCCCGACTCGCGAACATGACAATGTAATAAGAATGTTAGAGAGATAGGAAAATGTTAATGCCGATCCGTGTCGTATTTCAGCCGTGGCCGTAACCAGCAGCACTGTACCGAGCAGCAGCTCGACTAGCACCGCTGTTTTGGGTGGAGGAGCCGTTGGAATACCACCCCCGCCACCACCGAGCGTCCTCAAGGGCGGAGATCGATTCTACCCAGGGGGCAGCATTCATCATCATCACGATCATCATCAACCGGCCACGGCGGCGCCGACCCTGTCCCACGTGCCCCCTCCGGCCATCTACCCCGTGCATCCGCATCAGCCTCCGATTCACAATGGACCGCCGTCCTCCTCGCCGCCCAAGACCTCGATCGGCCAGAAGAAGAAGAACAGTACGTATAACACACCGCCCCACCGACTCTTGCCACCTGCTCTCTTTGCCGCGAAACGAGTTTCTCCGTGCTCCTCGCGACCATTATCTCGGCCAATGATTCTTTCATTTTTTTCCTCTCTCCCTCCTTCTATCTCCTTCACTCCCTACTTGTTGAATCCCTCTCCCTTTTTCTTTTTTTTCATACTCCTTTTATTTTCTTACGCGAAATTTCTCTCTCGTCGTCGCGTCTCGTCGAAATTAATCGTGGAAAAGAAGAGTCTTTTTTTCATTAATCGAGTGCGAATCAAGTCGTCCACGATGTTACCCGTTCAATTGGCCGAATTTAATTGTCGAATAGAGTAATGAGAAATTATATAGAGTTAAATAATGAACGATTTAAATAATTAAGTAATACTTGTATATTAAAAGGCAAAATGATCCTATATGTGTCCCTTATCGATATGTGGTTAAGAAGGTGTCTTCAATCGTCTCTTCCTTTTTGTCCAATTTTGATAATTATCATTTTGTATTTATGCATCACTGTTGCATAAAATTAAGATAAACCACTCGTACCCGACGACTTTACTGCTCGTTATCGTTGTGTAAATCGTTCCTTTTTTTTCTCGGGCGAAGAAATCAACGCGGTTCGTTATTAGCGTTGCACAATTCATATTTTTTTCTTTTCGAAAATACGGCAAACGCGGGTCCATGATCGTGCGAAATCTTTCTTTTCCATCGTCTTTTCACGAGTATCGAGTCAAAGAGGAACGTCGTCGACGCTTCGATCATTAAATTACCGTTATGTAGTTGAACGTGACGGTCCATTGCGTGCCAAACAATCATTTTACGTAATTTATTCGGCTTATCGTTCGGTCGTATTAAATCGGATAAAGTAAATAACGAGCAAATAAATTTTAATGAGCTTTAAAATTATATTGTCCCTCGTTCTACTTATTACAATCGCCTGATACTTTGTATGAATTATGTCAAAATGAGTGATCATTTACATTGGTTGATCGCATGTGAAACTTTTGAAACTATACCTATCACTCGTGTAAAATACCCGTAAAATATGATTTTTCTCTCGCATTTAAATCCAATTTTTGATCCAATTCATTAATTTTAACAATTGATAACAAAATTCGAAACTTGAAATATAATCGAAACTTGAATTGAAAAGTGGTAATCTAATTGGATTTAAAAATCTTTAAAAGTAGGATAACAAATTTCAAATATCTATTGCATACGCAAGAATTAAAAAAAATATCGTGGGGAGTAGAAAAAAATTATCTAAAAAATTTCATCTAAAAAATAATAGATTAAGAGACCCTTTCAAATATGTGCTAAATAGAGAATAATCAAACAAGATAGAAAATAATCAAAAGTAGTCAAAATTTCAATTCAACCATCTTTCTCGACGACCATCTGTCGCTTATGTTGTATACTCTTTTTATGTTATCATCTATGATAATTTGACTTGAAAATGCAATGTGGTGGATGCACACACATTTGCATTTCATCGATAGCTAGGACATTATTAACAAAGTGATCTGCTTGGTTCGAGACTCAACAAGAAATTCGTGTTCCCAAAATGTCGAATTGAAATAACTCGAGACGAATTATTCCGTCCTTATTTATAACAACGATTTGAATTTCTCTCTGCTTGTATTTCTAATTTCGAAATTCTGTCGTAAATCTCATGCATTTATTTGTGATTTACGATATCGATCTATGCGATATCGTAATGCGTTTCATTTCATGCAGAAGCAAAAATTGATAGTAATTACTCACCTATAACCGGAACCTGAAGCTGTTGAAGTTGAAGCTTCCGCACTGATATTGACACGTTCGTTGGTTCTTGTAATAAATAACTTTTTCTACCAAAGCTCGTGGAAGTTTTGTTTCAAACTGGAGAAATTTGAAGAAATTTCGAGATATTCTTGACCTTTTTCCCTGAAATTAAAATAACATTATTGTTCATTAAACATAATAAAAATAAAATAAATTTAATTTGAAAGCAAAAGTCGGAAAACTTAAAATATTGTAAAATATTGTAAATATTATAAGAATCTAAGATCTTGGAATTATTATAGTTATAATGTATAATTAAAAACAATATTGATATATTAATTTTCACATTATTAAAATTTTAGAACATATATTTATTAAATATTTTCGTTTAAATATGAATTTATTTTTAAAATTGAAATTTATTTATTAAATTATTGAATTAAAATTAAACTAATAATTAAGATATTCATAAATTCTTAACCTTATTTTTTTTTTTTTTTTTGCTTAATATTTGATGAATTAAATAGTTATCGATTACGTACAATTATTAATAATTATTTTCTTTTTTTGTGCCTATAGAGGAATATTCAGATCATCCGAACGAAGTAGTGAAGAACGAAGAATTGACTTATAATGGAGCGAGTTCCAGCCGTGTTCAAGATCGGTACAGCCAATTGTTGGTGGCGTTGATAGGAAGCTTGTTGATCAGCGCCATTCTGCCGCAATTATTGCGGTGAAGTGACAACATTACTGACGAGAACGTATATCTCATACGTCGAAACCCCTTTTTCTGTGATTATCCTACGTTTAATTAATTTCTTGAGGCACGCGTGTGCACGCGCACTCGCGCGGCCGCCCCTCGATCGTGAAAAATAAAACGTGCACGATTTATGGTCGGACTGCCTCGAGAGAAAAAGAGAACGAGAAAATTTAATCGGGATGGAAGAGAGACAAAAACGAACAACTTTAAAAAAAAACGAAAATTTAATGAAAATAAAACAGAATACGATTTAAGAAGAACGAAGAGTTGGTAAAAAATAAGTAAACGTCAAATGTCAAGAGAAGAGACACGCACGACACACGAGCAGCAACGCCATATTGAAACTATTCGAAAACGAAGAACGAAGATGTAGCTAAGATTACAAAGACGAAGAAAGACGAAATGAGGAGAAACGCTACTACTAGACATTATTATAGTATGCCCACTATTATCACTACTATAAATGGTAGTCGTATTGGTTGTCCTTCTTATCATTACGCTAATTCTAGGTATTTATTGGAAATACGAAGAAAAAGAACGAAGTGAACAGCGTGCTAACTATCCTCAAGCAAGATGCAATATATCTATAGTAATAATAATAAATATATACATCAGAAAAGCGCGAAAATTTTTTCTTTTAAAGACCATAACCTCGCGCGTGAAAATTTCAGTTAAATTACTGATGATAATATTGATTGACGAACGGTTCTTTGTCACTTATTCCTTTATCGCTTATGGAAATAACATTGTAACAAATCAATGAATCATTTTAATTTAAAATTTACATAAGAAACTAATTATTAAATAATACGAATTAAATCTTGTTATTTTAGTATATATATATATAGTACTTACCACTTATTTTCTCTATAATATTCCCAATCACATGTCACGAATGCACATTTTCTTACTTCATTATGAAGAGCTTGTCAAACACTGATCGTACTTGTTGCGATAATCGAATTAAACGATAAGTTACGATTGATCGCGACATCAGCGCCAATAATCGAATCGAAATCTATCGAATAATATTGTAATGGCGGAGAATCGTTCATACACTGCCAAGAGTCGCGAACAGGATAATTAGCACGCGTGTAAATAAATTCCTAATTAAATATGTACAAGTGACTCTTGCCTCATCTTAGAGGCAGAGGAATTTAAGAGAGTGCCGTATAATAGGTAAAATCTTATATATGACACGTGAAGAGTGCGTGAGTGAAAATGGCCAAGTGTGATAGAGTATGTGTGTGTGTGTTATGAGACACGTGTGACATTCGAAAACAAAGGATCGCAGAATTGGATAGTCGAGTGTTACAAAATTATGTAAGGTACGACAAATCTGTAAGTTCCGACCGCGGTTCTTGCAACCGTGACACTTTCACGAATATGTGAAGTATTGTCATGAAAAAATCCGAAATTCCTCGCTTCAATCGAATTCGTCGAAAGAAGAACGAGCGAACGAACGAAAGTATGGTAATGTATGAAAGAGAGACTGATTACGAAGCGAGAAATAAAAAATAAAATTTTTGTATTATAGTTGTATCATACCGAACTTTATCTATAGATCTGTATTATATTTATTATCCGCTATCATTACGCTACGAATAATCACACTCGATATTCTATATTTACTAGTAAAAGAAATATCAAATTTAATAGCGAATAAATTGCGTATTCGGCGGGGTAATGATAAAAAAAACGACATGATGCGAGTAAAACGATGAATTCTTGACTCCTATAATCATCGAATCCGCTATTTGTTGTTTTCTTCATTTTTCTTTTTTTTTATTCTCTCGTATTGTATCGTTCGAAAATATTGAATGTGCGCGTTCAAATGCGTTCTTGAACACGTACTCGCGAGTTCAACAAATTAGCCGTGCGATCGTCGATTTTATTTGTATCATCCTTCGTATTACATCATTGTCTCTATAGTTCTTTTCTTTCTTTTTTATATTCTATTTATTATACACCGCCACGCAGACTTCATTTCCATACGCGTACTAACGAACGTATGCGCATGAAAATCGCATTTATTTGTAAAACATACGGGATTACATATATACATGCACAGTGGTCACATTCGTTACACGCGATTTCGCTCCGGTCTGACGCATGCGCCGATAACAACGCCCTCTCTTCGTCAAGCTTCGTTCACACTGAAATCGCAAACGATGTCGTTATGAACGCTAATATAATTCTAAGCGGTTTTTCTATGTAATTTTAAACGTAATCGTTTTTCTCGATCGCAATCACGGATCTACATTTCTATTGTTCACAATATTGGCATAGTCACACAGCAAACGTCAAATATGTGTTTTGGATCTTTAATCACGCGAAACATGTTATCTTGGTAATACAGTATACAATGCATGTGCATCGTTGTCGTGTAATCTATAACTTTTGAATTTTTTCCGCCAATATAATATTGATCACACGATCACGATAGCGCTATTTTGTACAAGTATATAAAACTAATACTTACGCGTATAGTTCAGAAAAATTGTCGTTTTCGTAACACATGTGCATTAATATTATATATTTTTTCGTGTTGATATATCTGACGACTGATTAATCATAATTGACAAATCGTATCTATTAAGCTTATATTAATGATACGAAAATCAGCGAATATAATTGCATATATATATAACCTAGTCTCAAAAATGGATCCGTGAATGTCAGTGTAAACGGAGCTTAATAGATGCGTATAATTGTTTTCGCGCGTATGAAAATGCACACAATGGCCGAAGAGCGTTCAAGGATGCGAAGGATAAAAACAACAAGGAGCAAATAATCGTTTTGCGTTGGCCACAAGAAAAGAATTCGACCGAACGACAATTAGAATAATGAATTATTGTAAATACGAATATGCGGAGAGAATTACATATTGTATAAGGCAGAGCGATAGAATGCGAGAAAGAGAATGAAAGTGAGAGAGAGAGAGAGAAAAAGAGACCCCTAATTCCGAATCGTAGATAATAAAAAAGAAATGTATTCTGATGGTTGCTCGATTGACCGACTCGTTTTCATCGTTCATTGATGGTTTATCGTCCTTGATTATACGCGGCAATTAAATGAAAATCAATGGCCACGATTAGCCGGGAATGTTGAGGGAAACGGCGGAAATCAAATGCGTGTATAATGTTATCCATTACAGTATTGTAAGCCTAAGTATTACATGCCTCCGATCCACGTCTGTTTGTCTGTCTGTCCGTTCGTCTGTCTACAGTTTATACTTTTTACCCATGTGTTAACCGCAATAGCAATTTCGTACATATGAGCGATCGATGATGAGAAAGCAGTTCACGACGATACCGCGATTCCATGATTCATATAGAATATAGATTCACATAATCACATTTCCGTTTCATTAATTATAGCTACTTATACGATAAAGTTTCTTTTTAGTTTTCTCTCTAGTCGTTTTTTTCATTTGCACTCATGTACTTACACACGTGGAATTGTTTGTGAACCGCTGATCAACCCGCAAATCGAAATCCAAAGACAATCACCTGCACCATTGTAAAGAAAAGCGTTCAAAGAGTTTCAGCGTAGATCAATCGTCTATTATAGCATCACAATATCCATTAGATATATATATGGTTCGTTAACCTTTTCACACGAAGTAGTTAACACACGATTGTACAAAATGTTTCTCATATACAAGTTCGCTTTGCGGGTCTCGGAGGATATTACACATACAGTACATACATTTGTAAAGGGACGCAAATAATAGAGTGCATTTATGTTTTTAATCGTTATAATCGACGATCCATGTAACAATTATACATCTCAAATCGTGGATGTATCGATTGAACTGCTCTGGACGGCAAAAATTATCGATCGACTCGATAGCGAATTAATCAGAACCAGCGTGAAAACCCGTAATCAATTAAACATAAATGCAATAGCAATGCAGCAAAGTTACATAGATCCAATGTGAATGGTACTCATTCTTACGGACGATAGGTGAATACAATATAACAATAATATAGACTCGAACTATCGATAGAAAATAGACAAGGTCACTCACTGCAATTTATTTTTATTTTTCTCTTTTCCTTCATTTATTTTTATCTTTTTTTTTTTTTAATCTGTTTTAACCGATTTGTTCCAAAAGCACTTCCATCCGTAAACCACACTCCGATCCCATCACTACCGACCACGTGAAACGTTGTTCCTCGAAAGTTATTTTTATAATCGTGAACAGGGACAAACATTGTACCATAAGGTACTTAAGTCGTTAGTAGAAAGTATATGTATATAGATATAATAGGAAGTTTAACGATACCGATATTAATAAAGAACACAATAATAATCGTAACATCAACGAAGATTACGATTAATCAAATCGCGCGTTAAGATTAGTCTTCATTGTTAATCATGTATACACATCATTGTATACACACAGGTAAATATATATACACGTTGCAAATTGCACGTTTTGAGCAGAAATACATGAAAAACAAAATGAGGAACAGGTTTCACGATTTTCTAATCCAAAGACGTTCGAACCTCTTTTCATTAATGATTTTTTTTTTTATGATTTATTTTTGCTATTTCATTGTGTTATCCTCTCGTGTGCGTGTTTAGGAACAATGCCAAGAGATTAGAGATCTTGGAGTAAGGAGATCACAGCACGTGATTATCGTTACGTTCACGAATGGACTTGTTCCTCTCTTCTCGAGACAAAGGATATAAAAAAGGAGATGAGATAAAAATAAGCATTAACGAGAAAGAAAGAATTGAAATGAGGAAGGAAAGATATGAAAGGATCGATTAAATTAGATTTACCGCGTCGAATTGATAATACCGCGGATTTATTGAGCGTAAAAATGGAATCGAGATGATTTCGTAGGTACGTCGTTGTAAATAAAAAAAATGAAGAGAAAAAAAAACAAAAAAGATTACGATCAATAAACGATAACACGATGAAATTTATATTAAATACATAGCAAGTACGAGGATAGGTTTCTAATAACGATTTATTATAAAAGTGAATGTACGTTGATGTCTAAGATTTTTAACAAGATGGAAAAAAAAAAATAAGAAAAACACAAAGTGATTATTATTAAACTATGATTATTAACTCATAACCGAGAAACACAAATACTAATTAAACAAGAGAGAGTTTGAATACAGAACCACACTTTTTAGCCAGGTCATGAATTTTCTCACGTTGCATATATTACTTTTGTAACAGGTACATTACATAACACATATGATCACGGTCACAGAAACCATATAAGAGGCACCGCGTTATCACGAAGCGATCGTTAGACTTCTTTTCTTTTTCCTGAACATGATATGTGAGCATATAAATTAAAAAACATTTGCGATATCATATTTATACAAAGAATAAAAAATTTCCAAAGATGACATACGATTTTTTTGATTAATCAAATTGATATAGATATTGTATAGTCCGCTTGGAGAAACAAACCAACAATTTATATAGTTCGATCGATTAGTTTTGTTTGACAATCAAGTCAAGATTTTTAGTTTTCAATTATGATGTAAAAATATTTAAAAAAAAAAAGAAGAGAAAGTAAGCTAAAAAAAAAAATAACGTGGTTCATCACTTGTGGTATTCGTGAACGAGATCGATTATAGATTGCGTGTATTCACTAAGTATGCACGTTCAGTACAGTACAGTCGTTCATTACAAAGCATTACAAATACAATACAAAGTAGCGTAGTGTTCATAATGGTAGTCCACTTGTAGCGAAATAGTGT